TTCATAAAAATTGAAATTCCCCAAAATTAAAGTATGTGGTAACCATATTTATATGGAAGTTGTGGGGTGCCTAATACCTTCCCCATGCTTAACCGACTCTCCGAACCTAGTCAATTTTTATGTAGACCTTGGTGATCTATCCCACGTCATTTGGATAGATGGCGACTCCATCCATTTTGGCACGTCAACAGTTTGGCGACTCCACTGGGGACCATTGAGGGGTCAAGCCATTTATACTTTAATTTTGAGGTTTTTCAATTACTAACTTTTGTTTTGTAGGTGGCATGAAGTATGTTGTAAGTTTTTTATTTTATTTTATTTTATTATTATTATTATTATTTTGTTATTTTATATTTTGTTATTTTCATATGTTAACTTTTTGTATACTCCCTCACACATCTCACTTGCATCTCATTTTTGTCCTTAATGAGGTGAACCAAACCTCTAGATAGATGGATAACTCATGGAGCAATGAAAAGCACAATGCTTTCTTTGTGAAGTAAGATTTATTCCTTTTTGAAGTAAGATTTATTCCTTTTAGGTTCATTTTGTGGGTTAATATGGTCTGACAGCTATAATGCTGCTGCTGTATTAGGCCATGAAATGTCTCTTGTTAACTCTATAGAAGTTGGCAATTTTTTACTTTATGGAAGTCAATAATTGTTGACTTATGGAAGTTAGCAGTTGAAAAAAACCTAATTGTATAGGATCCACTAGGAAACCGCATGTAATGGATTTAGACAAAACTTAACCCTAGAACGGCCAGCCTAGTAAATCACCTTCAAAGTTTAAGAACCTTATACATAGGACGCGTGGGTAGTATTTTATTTTTAAACAATGATTTTGTGTTTCTTAGGTGAGGAATTCGACCAAGAGGTATGACATTCATTAACTCTCCTTTTTCTTTTTCTTTTTAATAAATAGGTAATTCATTATTTGACACATGAATTCTTTGAAAAAAAATCAACAAGAGGAAAAGGGAGAATTTAGAGTTACAATGTCTGCCGTTATCCAAGAGGAACAAGTCACACAAGGATGTATTCTCTATGCAAACCAAAAGACCTTGTGTAAAAGACTTGGTTACTGCTTGAAATAGTCTAAGTATTCTTGACAAAGTGAGGTTTGACAAGAAAGTTGGTAGAATAGTTGATGTCTTGCAAGTGGAGTTGGACTAGGAAATCGTTAGGGCAATCCCAAGATTTTATGTCCTGCGTCTTCGTTGCTTTGTTTTTTTTCTGAGTTTAAATTTGTGCTCACCATTGAAAAATATTTTCAATTATTATTTAGTCACCCAACAATGAATTCAAAAGTTGATCAATGAAATCTATTTTGAAATGGTTGAGGTTGAGCATTTGAAGTCAAATTTCACATTTTCTTGAATTCTATCTGTTGAGAAAAAGCAAGTTCCTCAATAAAAAGAAGAAAAGATATGAAGGAGGCAATCTCCTCATTATTTTTCTTTTACTTAAAAAAAAATTCTAAAAGATCATGAAAGAGGCAATCTCTTCATGTTTTTGGCTGCCGTGACAATTGCTTGGCTATAATTTCCTTTTCCCTTTACATGCAAGTGGCTGAAGTTGTTCTCGACAATGAAGAATCCATGTGTAAAATAAATAATTAGAAGATAGATTTACTCATTGATTTTATCTAGTGAAAACTTTGGGAACTTCGCTTTCAAAATGCTAACTAGATTTGTTAATAATGTTCAGATTTCATCAGGTGTTGAAAGATTGGCCCTAAAAGGAATTATCCAAAAGTTCGTTCACCTATTCTCACTAGAGCTCTTGCAAGGAAGATGGCTGACGAAGCTAATTTAGAGAAGGTCGCTCTAGAAAATCATGTTGAAAATATGGAAAATACTTTCAAGGAATTGATGGCTTCCTTCCAATCTCTTCAAGCAACCTTAGTCACAACCTTTGACAACAAATCCTTTATTTGAAGGAAATGTTCCAGTGGCAAGTCTTCCTATCACCACATCTACTCTTGGAAAGGAGCCAATGTCATCTTGCCCACCAAATCCAACTATTGGTGGCACTTCTGGGACAAAGCCATTTGTTCTAAATGCTGGTGTTGCTACAGTTCAATCTAATGATCAAGAAGAGACTCAAGTTGTCAAGTCAATCACAGAGGATGAAGACAAGGCAATTAAAGCAAAGGTGCAGTTGATGGAGGAAACACTAAAATTGATGCAAGGTGTCCAAACCAATAAACCGATTGACATCTCATCTTTATGTTTTTTCCCAAACATTCAATTGCCCCATAAGTTTAAATTGCCTAAGTTTGATAAGTACAATGGCACTGGTTGTCCTTATGCCCACTTGACGATGTATTGTAGGAAGATGGCTCCTTATGCCAATGATGAGAAGCTAATGATACATTACTTTCAAGATAGTCTGACAGGTCCTGTAGATGCTTGGTTCTCTACTTTAGACAAAAGTAAGGTCAAAAGTTGGCATGATTTGACTTACAATTTTATGAAGCAATATGGATACAATACATCACTAGCTCCTAGTAGAGAAGATCTTCAAAAGACAAAGAAGAAAGCGAGTGAAAACTTTAAGGAATTTGCTCAAAGATGGCGTGGATTGGCTGCTTGAGTTCAACCGCCACTAACTGACCATGAACTGAGTAATTTATTCATTAAATCAACTAAAGGGCCTTATCATGAAAATTTGATGACTTGTGTAAATTACACTTTCACTCAGTTGGTTATCGTGGGAGAGCAAGTGGAAGATGGAATCAAGTCAAGGATTATTATTGATTATCAAGCAATGAAGAGTCTCCTTGAACAATACCAAAATGGTAGTTCAAGGGCTTCTAGTTTAAGGAAAGTAGGCCAAAATCAAAAGATGGAGAATGAGAATGGCACTATAAGCTCAGTTTATGAGGCATATGGAAGAAATAATCAGTCACATGGGCAGTTCAACAATTGGTTCCAAGCTCCAACTTATCAATTAATGACTTTTACAAGCCAACCAAGGATTGTTTACGCCTCTGGGGTTAATCGTCCACAACAAGTGAGACGACATTTTGACAAGCTTCCTCTGTCATATACTGAGGTGTTTCGACAATTAGTAGAAGCTGGAATTGTTACTCTAGTACTTATGGTGCTGGTAAAACCACCATTTCCAGCATGGTACAACCCACAACCAATATGTGAATACCATAGTGGAGGTGTTGGACATGATCTTGAAAATTGTCTTGCTTTAAAGCACTGTATCCAAGATCTGATAGATGCAAAGGAGTTACAGATTGCATCAGAACAAAAGGTTGTTGGTCCGAATATCACTAAAAACCCCCTACCAACACATGATAGTTCAACAGTCAATATGATCGAGAAGGATTTTGAGGAAGTTCAAGAGGTGGCTGCAGTTACTCTCACCAATCAAGTTTCATCAACTCCTAGACAACTTTTAATATTGAAGGGACCGATGCTTACAGTTCCACTCAACAAGGTTGATCTTAGAACTGTTATTGATCAGGGCTTGAATAAGTGAACAATGGAGTTTTTTTTTCCTATTGCTATCATTTTGGAATGAAATGTGTCTATCATGTTAGTCTTTATTTGCATTTTCCAAACTCCCTTCATATTGCAATTTGAATCTTTGTTCTTCATATTTTAATTCATGGTTCTTTGGTTCTTGATTTTATACTTCCACGAGTTGCACTGTTAGTGAACTTGAATTCAATGTTGAACCCCATAGAGAAAATCGAGGGTTGAGAAAAAGTAAGGGTTGAGAAGTGAGGGAGGTGATTGAAAGGAAAATAATGGATGAGTGGGAATGAGAGAAATGTACAAAGAGAAATTGATCTCAAAATTTGAAACAAACATTCCTATGATAGAAAGCTTGAGAATTCTTATCTTTACCATTTGAAACCTTTGCCAAGGATTCATATTTAAGAATTGCCACAAATTGCACAAAACCAAAAAAAAAAAAAAAAGATGACGAAAATGGTGGAATTTTTGCTAACTTTGTTAGGTGATTGTTA